GTGTGTGTGTGTGTGTGTGTGTGTGTGTTTGCAGATGACACCGTGCGGTCAGAGAGCAGCTCGACATCGGACTCAACAGGACACGACAACGGTAACACACCTGCATGTGTTCTGCCTCTGTGGCAACAAAAAGCTACACAGTTTAACGGTGGTTCCGACCCGACCTCACAGTTCTGTTGTGACTGGGTTCAGCTGTTCCTGGTGTTGCTGCAGCTCCCTCTGCTGGCTGGACCTTTCTTCTGGGTTCCAGCTGCCTGGTGTGAACTCTGACCTCAGCTCAGTGAGGAGCTCACCTGGTGGAGCTGCCCAGTGAGGGACGACGTAGGAAGGAGATGGTGGTGGAAGCTCCGGGGAGGGATCTGATGACTGCAGCATACGGACCTGATGGGTGGTTTTAGGTACATCCCTGTTCACAGACGACTGCTCCGGTTAGCATAGAGCTCTGAGACCCGGTTCAGAGGACTGAAGGAAGACGTGTGTGGTCACAGGGGAGGGTCCTGGTGCTGCAGTCCTGAGATCCCTCCCAGAACACCATGAGTCATCCCTCACCACGCAGTTCTGCTGGGTTGCTATTGGCTCATTAGTTCTGTGAGAAATTCTCCACCAGGCAGGACTGAAGAAGAACCTTGGATGAAGGTCTTCAAGAACCAAAGAGAACAGTTCAGTTTGTTGTAGTGAAGCTCTGAGAAGTAACAGAACCTCGTGATTGACAATCTACAGACAAGTTTTACTTTACAGTTCGAAGCAGAACTCTTCAATCGGACTGCCTTCAGAATGACACTCTACCTGTCTGTCTACCTGTCTGTCTACCTGTCTGTCTACCTGTCTGTCTGTCAGATGAAGCCGTGGCTCAGTGTCGCCCCCCGCTGGTCTCTACCGGCTCTCCGGTGGAGGTTTTCTACCAGAACAGAACCAGGAGGAACTCAGTGCACATCAGGTACATTTACTCTTCACAAGCACACCTGCTGCTGAGGCCACGCCCACTCAGAACCACCTGCAGGCTGAAATAGCACACACAGACACAGATGAAAGAGAGCTGATCTCTGTCTGCTGTAGAACTGCTGACTGAGCTGTTAGGATCAGGACCAGTCGCAGTGATCAGGATTAGTGGCACAAAAACACGTCTGCTCTGTTCTAACGTCGACGTCCTTCCACCCTGAAACCTTTTATTCTTTCAGGACGGAGCATCCGGAGACTCTGCAGACCCATAAGCCCCTCCCCCTGCCTCCCCTCCCCCCTCCCCCCCCCCCCCCACGCTCTCAGGACTCCTCCTCCTCGTCCGGACCCTCCGACCCCGGAGCAGGATTGGAGGGCGGAGTCAGGGTGAACACCGCCCGCCGCAGTAACAGCTCCGACGGCCTCCTGGACCGCATCGCCCCCCCGGAGGAGGAGGTGGGGGCGCAGCAGGGGGGATTGTGGGTCAACGGTGTTCCCGGGTCCAGGGGGGTGGGGCGTGGGAAAGGACGAGGAGGGACAGGCTACAGCGACGTCCTATTGGACTACGTCTGGGGGAAACAGCAGCAGCTGCAGCGGCAGCAGTCACACGCCAGCAGGCAGCCAATCACGTCGCAGCACCAGCTACTCTACAATGGACACTCCTCCCAGCAGGGAGCCCCGCCCACCTACCGCAGTCACCACGGCGACCAGCGGCGAGTCACGGTGACTCGCACAAAATCCTGCGGCCCGTTCCTCCCGGCGCAGCAGACCGATACCCACAATCCCCCTCTGCCTGCCATCCAGCCCGACCCCCACCCCCACCTGCTGCCCCCCCGCCCCCCCCAGCTGCCCCCCACCCAGGACTCCCAGCTGGAGGAGGCCACTCGGAGCCTGCACAAGGCGCTCGCACTGGAAGGTAGCTCCGCCCACTTTACCGTGAACCAACCATAACACCACCTGTCTCACTTGGTGTGATTTGGTGTTTTGTTTTTGCTGCTGTAACAAAATAATTTCTCAGGTCTGGGATAAATAAAGTATTTGTGCTCTATTCTGATTATAACTATAACTATAACCGCTACTGTCATTATAACTATAACCACCACTATAACTATAACTACAACTACAATTAAAGCCACCAAGCAGCATTGGACGGGTCCTCGCCCGACGCTTGTCGGCCTTCGCGCACGTCGGGTTGTGGCGCAAACGTGCTCTGGGCGGGACTCTGATCCGGCTTGTTGAGTTTGGGGCAGATCAGAGCATGTGCGGCTTAGTTATGAGCCACTTCCTGTTTAGTGGCGAGCCACGGCGACGTGCGTGTAGGCCGTGGTGTAAACACGCTTTGGAGGAGATAGATTTTGAAAATGGCCAAAAGTGTCACCTACGTTTTTCAAAATGGCGGACTTCCTGTTAGGTTTAGGACTTGGCCCTAATTGACTTTTTTGTGCGTCCTGACCTGCTACACATGCCCACCGAGTCTTGTAGCTGTCGGTGAAAAGACCTTCCAACAGGACACCATTGAATGCAAAAACACAGCGAAAATGGACAGGCCGCCATTTCCAACCCGGGCGTCATCTGTGAAGCGTTTTCATAGGTGTGTACGACATTCCCCCTGGGAGGAGATAGATTTTGAAAATGGCCAAAAATGGCCATTTTTGAGTGAAAATGGCCCGACATGGTCGCGGTTTTTCCAACATGGCGGATTTCCTGTTGGGTTTACAGAAACATGCTAATGGACTTTTTTGTGCGTCACAAGTTGTTACACATGTGTGACGAAGTTCGTAGTTGTAGGTGAAATGTAGCCCTGATGGGACTCTGTTGAAATGTTGTAGGGGGCGCACTTGAGCCATGTTGCATTGTAGAGCAAAGTCCAAGTGACTTTTTTGTTCGTGCTGACCAGCTCTATATGCCTATGAAATTGCGTAGCTCTAGGGCAAACGTGCTTCCGACAGGACTCCGTTGAAATTTTGAAGGTGGCGCTGTGGAGCAATTTCTGTAGTGAGGTGTGTATTTTTCTTGCAAATTATAACATTTTTCGCCAGGTCTGATGTGTGTGGCAAGTTTGGTGCGTGTACGAGTACGTTTAGTACCTCAAAAACAGGTTCCTTTGTCCTGATGAATGAATAATGATCATAAAAAAACTCTAGCAGTGCCAACAGTGCTAACTATAACTATAACCGCCACTATTACTGTAACTATAACCAACAAACTCCGTCCTGAACCACTGATGCTGCTGATTGGCAGGTCTGAGGGACTGGTACCTGAGGAACACTGTAGGCTCCTCCCACCAGACCCAGGCCAACGGTAAAGTCTCCGCTGGAGCCACCACCAAGGCCAGTGGAGGGGCCAAAGGTCAGAGCGGAGGAGGCGGGGCTCTGCAGCGCAGACGGACGACTCACAGTGTTATCCAGCAGTCCACCTATCAGATGGAGACGAGCCACCATCACGCCGCAAAGCATCACAAACAGACGCTACCGCAGTCAGCCACATTCCACGGCCACCCGCTGCACGGCAGGTAGGTCAGCTGACCAGCGCAGCGAGCAGGTCTCGTCCACTCTTCATTTGAAATGATGTTTGCAGAAAACACACAGTCAGAAATGAAACTAAATTATGTTTACTGAAAATGAAATCTCTCTCTCTCAGGTCTGTGGATAGCTCGCTCTACCACGACGCGTTCCCGCCTCAGAAACAGGAAGTTCCTCTCAGAGAGCCCGCGGCAGACCAGCCGTCTCCCGGGACTCTGGTCTGACTACCAACCAATCAGGATGCTGAGAGGCAGACGAACGAACCAATCAGCCACCTGCAGGACTGAAATAAAACAGCACAAGCCTCATCCGAAACCCCGCCCACTGTGAAGTCACACAGGCAGAGATGATGCCACTGTTCTTGTGGACCTCAGGGCGGAGTCTCGGGATGAAACACCAGGTGTGACTCACCTGGAACCCAGCAGGTGGACGAACTTCATATCAGGGACTTTAGTCAGCAGAACTGTAAAGTCAGGAGTCGATGTTCTGCAGCCAAAGACTCACTGGAACCTGCCGGAGTTAAACAGCTTGCATTGCTGGAGCTTACAGGGTGTGGTGAAACCTGAGGTCCTCGGCCCAAAACAGGTTCCCTCATTCGCTGACTCATCCAACAACCTACGATTTGCAGCTCCGACCACCAAAAACAATCAGCGAGTCCTCACAGTGTGACGCTGTGATGCCTCACAAGCACAGACCAGCCAATCAGAACACAGCTACAGACCAGCCAATCAGAACACAGCTACAAACCAGCCAATCAGAACACAGCTACAGACCAGCCAATCAGAACACAGCTACAAACCAGCCAATCAGAACACAGCTACAAACCAGCCAATCAGCCAATCAGAACACAGCTACAAACCAACTAATCACAACACAGCTACAGACCAGCCAATCAGAACACAGC